TGTGATCAAAAATCTGGTTAGCAAAATTTGGTAACAAAAGACGAATTTCAATGCATGAAAGTGATGAATCAAAAGCAAAACGCATGTAGCAATCGATTTATAGCCAAGCGAATTGTTCTGATTTGCTTGCAAATTATTATCATTTCATTTGGTGTATTTTCCAGAGCGGAAATCAAAAACTATTGGGTAAAATGTGAGCGAATCGTTTGTGAAGTGAGGGATATTGAGATATCAATTGCATGCTTGTGGCTTGATAAACAGTAGCAGTGAAATATCACAATTTCAAACACTCATCGCAATTGATAACTGAGTTCACTGAATCCTCCTTCAAATTCAGAGATGTTTTCCAGACAACTTACTTCAACATTCCTGATTTTTGAATATAGAGAAAGCTATAAAAAACTCTCCGTAGAAAAGCATGAACTTCCAACAAATTCATTCGAAGTTGAATGCTACGAGACATCCAATCGGCTTAGAAGGGAATAAGACGTCACTCTAAAACAACTGATTAATTCGAGTGATTCGAAGCTTTCGTAGCTGAGAACTTCACTCAGATTACCAGTTCACTACGGTTTATCTCTCCATGAAATTTCTGAGGAGATACAATAACAGATTATGCCTTCAATTGAGAATAATCCTAAACTCTTACTACACGTCAAAAACCTTTGAACCCAATCATTTCATACAACAGTCATCGTATTACCGGATGAAACTTCAGGTTAGCACTCATTTTTCGCGAATGGATATTCATGTGCATCATCGTGGTTAAGACGGTATAAGGATAGGATGGATTTTTGAAGATATTTTTGAGAGAATTCAATGGAGATAGCCTCGCTCAATGTACTCAGTCATGGTGCTAGATCATCCGATGCCCTCTGATGGATAACTTTCATTGTGAAGAAAGCTACCCTATTTGAAAGCAAATCGCATTTGCCGGTCTGCTCACAATTGTAGCGTTCAATCACACATCAGCAGAAGTGAAGCGAGCAGCAAAAATCACGGTTGCAGAGTTCAATTACATATGACCACGAGCGAAGCAAAGACATTCTTAAAAAGATTCTCGAATAATGTTATTAAAGCTTTGAAGCGTGCAATCCATTCGCAAACATACGCTTTCTTTCGATGGTGAATTTGTTATAAATATTTTCAATTATTCAAGACAGATGAATTTTTATCTAGACTGATTAATCGCAAGAAGTGATGAAGCTAAGCCATGCTTGCATGTAAGCAAAACAGTGGAAATTATTCAATTGCAGTAAGGCGATTGGATTGCAATATAGCGATTGAGCATGTTCGATGCTAAAAGGTCAAACCTGTTCACTAATATTGTCGAGAGTCTGCATTGCAAGCGCTTCTACGTCATCACTACTTTCACTTAGAATATCGTCATCTTTGGAGCTCGATGAGGGTAGCATAGCACCTTCATCAACCAACCGAGTCTCAACACGATTACCACTACTTTCTTTCGACGATAGTAACGACACCACTGAATGCCTTGCAGATGCGCTGGACATCGTCGGTCAACACTCGCTAATTACGATAGTAAAATACGCCGAATGGCCAAGGATATT